AGCAATTCTCTCAGCCACAGCAGCAATTTGCTGCTTGATCACAGCTTAGAAAGGACAAGCTGCCCTGTGCGGGTCCCAGCAGCAGTGACAAGGAGCCCTGCAGTCCCTGTGCCTCTGAGCAGGGACACAGAGCATCAAACAAACCCTCAGCATCAAAGCACCACAAAAACCATCAAAAACCAGCAGCTCCTGTCACCTGAAACCCTGTGGTTTCAGCAGCACGTTTGCACAAAGGTCGAGGCTGAACAAGGGGGTTTTTTTCAGGAATCCATCCCCTCCTGAGGGGGCACAGATGATGTCTGTGGTCAGGCTCAGCTCTGGGGAGAGGGGCAGAGGCAAGGCAAGCTGATTTTCTGCTGGAGCAGCTGAGGTGTGAGCACACAGCTCAGTTCCTGGCCTGAAACTGCTCCAGCAAGGAGCCAGGGATGCTCCAGGTATCACACAGCCCAGGGAGAGCTGCTCCACACGGCTTGTTCAACAAACACATCCTAACAGCCCCCAAAAAGGTGAAAAAAAACCGCTTTTTAAAAATAGCGAAGTCTTCAAGGAGCCGAGCACACGCGTGAGTGGGTGGGAAATTAGTGTTTTATTGTGGCTCTCTGCTCACAGGGGCTGAGACCTCGGATGACTTGTTTGTGCCCTGCACCGGTTTCTGCAGACTCATTATAAACCCTGGCAAAGAGGGGTTTGTAAGGTCACAGGAGAATTTCCATTAACTGGAGCCTGGCTGGGGATTGCCAGCATGATCTATGTCTCCCATTTATGCATATGCAGGGAGGCCAAGAGGAAGCTCCTTTGCTTTATTTCCACATCATTGTGCTGATGCTGAGCTCACCAAATAAACAAACTGGAAAAGCCAGTGGGGAAGCAGGGGGAGGAGGAGAAAAAAAAAATAAAAATAATAATACAAAATGCTGTGCCTGGCTGTCCCCCTCATGAAGGATGCAAATGAATTCTGCAGACTTTGAAGCCAGAGATGAAAATACCCCAGTGCTGGATGAGGCAGGTGAGGCACTGGGTGGGTTTCTGGTTACAGAGATGCTCATGTACAATGGGGATAAGGATAAATGTTGGTATGGGGGTGAGAGCTGCAATCCAGCAGCAGCAGAACCCTCTGGGCTCTCCAACCCCCCTCCCAGCACCTAGACACCACAGACTTCTCAAAAACTGAATTTCAAACAGGGAACATCCCCAAGGAACTGGGATGGAGGCACCACGGAGCTGGGGGAAATCACTCCTGGAGGAGGACAGCTGATCTGAGCTCCTTCATCCCTGAGCCATCATCAAACCCTTGGGAAATGCAGGGAACATCCCTGAGCCATCAACAACCCCCTTGGGAAACGCAGGGACGGCCCCACCAGGAGCTCAGGGCTCAGCAGAGTTCCCCTGATGGATTCCACAGCAGCAAACCCAGCAGGATGCTGGCACAGCCCAGGCACCCAGAGCAGCAAATCCCCGAGCTGGGGGGCTTTGGGGAGAGCAGATTTCACTGCAGAGCCCTCTCTGAGCCACACAGAGATGGGCAGAGCCCCTTTTGCCCAGCACAGCCCTCTCTGAGCCACACAGAGATGGGCAGAGCCCCTTTTGCCCAGCACAGCCCTCTCTGAGCCACACAGAGATGGGCAGAGCCCCTCTTGCCCAGCACAGCATCTCCCGGGGCTCCCAACACAGCCTCAGGACCTGCTCAGCTGCACACAGACCACACCAACTCCTCGTGTCCCTGCTGGAACCCCACAGAGTCACCCAGGATTTGTTATCAGGGAAGGAATCACTCAGGTTTTCCCTTTTTCTGCTCAAATCTGAGTTACACCAAGTGCTGCTGCAGCAGCCGAACCGCTGCACGCTCCAACCCAGCGGCTTTCCCTCTGAATTCTTGCAAAAGCAGCCCCTTCCCCTTCATGTTCACTCTCCCTAACCCAGCTCTGATCCATTTCCACCTCCAAATCATTAAAGATAACAAACAAGCCCAGCCTCAGTGTGAGGAACCCTCACATAATCACATATCCACGCTCCCATCAGCACTCGGCCATTACACTTCTATTTTCTGCTGCTTAACTAAGACAGCCAGCACTGAACTCTGCCCCTTATCCCACAGCTATTTATTGCCCACATTCTGCTATTTATTTCCTAAAAATAGTCTCTTTGGGGTGGATTTAATGAAATATCCAAATAAATTAGGCCCTTTGGAAGATGTTGAACTCTTATTTCCTCAGCCTTTAGGAAGGAAGGCTTCCCTGCTGGGCATGCAAACGGTGGTGATTTGACCCCCAGGGATAGACCAGCCAAGTTTTTGAGGGATAATTAGGCCCTCCCAGCAGGCACAGAAGTAAAAAAGTCAGTTACCTGATATCCCAGCTCCTCCTCAGGTTTGGTTTCTGTACAGGCACAAATTCCTGCTGCATCCATCAGCTCCCTCTGCCCTGGAAATGGCCAGGGAGGAGGAGGAGAAGAAAAAAGAGGTGTCCTCCCCTTTATGTTCACACCTGCTGCTATTTTATGCCTGATTTATTCCAATTCTACTGATTTGGAACACCTTGGGCCCATTTCTCCCTCTCTGAGCAATCCAATCAGTGTTAATTGCCCTCAGCTGGGCACTGCCAGCTCTGTCCTGCCCAGCAGCCACTCCCTGTGACCAGCATGGAAATAACCCTGGTTTATCCTCTGCAAGGTGTCCCTGAACATGGAATGAGATGGGATTTAGGTTCCCTTCCAACCCAAACCATCCTGGGCTTCCCCAGTCTGCTCCTCGCTGCATTTTCCTCCTCCTTCACCACAACCAAGTCCCACATCCATTAGCAAACCAAATCTTCCAGAGGCGCCAGGACAAAGAGAAAAATCCCACAATCTTCCCCTGAGGGCTCCATGCCACAAATGAAGTTATAACAGGAATCCTTAAAATTGCTCCTCACAGGTTTTACATCTCCTTTTATCTCCCCAAGCCCCCCATTTTTCCTGTCAGCATTAGTGGCTGCCCTGAGGTGACAAAGTGGAGTTTGCATCCTCCTGTGCACAGCTCCAGAATCCCAAAATCTCCTTCCTGGACAAAATTTTCCTCATGGAGCTGCTGATACCTCAGTGATTGCTCCCTCCAAGCTGTTCTCATCCTGCTCAGCACAATTTCGCTGCTCCTCCTGTTCACACACAGCAAGAGGTGCCTTGTTTTAACAGCTTCCTCACCTTTTATGTGCTGCCTTACAAACCTCATGCCCCAGAACAAAAAGCATTTCTGAGGAGCCTTGCAGAACTTCTGTCTCGCCTTCTTTCTGCCCAGAAGCATGAAAAGTAAATAAAATCTGACCCCAACAAGTGCTGCCCACAAAGATCTCCCCCCAAAGTCAGTGAAAATCAATATCCACACCTCAGGAACATCAGCAAGCCTTTAAAAAGGGCAAGACATCGACTGTCTGCACATGCTGAGTGCTGAGCAGAACCTGGATAAAGCTTAAATTGCCTTCAAAAAAATGAAGTTTCTTGGAGGAGGGAAACTGTCTGACCCTAGGGATGTGTCAGCTCCTTCATCTCTCATGTCAGCCCTTCCTCCTCCTCTCCCTTGCTCTTCCTCCTTCCCCTGCTGCCCCCAAAGCCTTTCCCTTGCACCCACCCAGCTTCTCCTCCATCCAAGCCTTTCCCCTGGCCCTGTTCCACATGGAAAACCAGCAGGAGGAGCAGGGATGTGACCCCACGTGGAACACAGAGCTCCCACACCACAGCCAGGAGATTTCCCAGCAGAATCTCCCCTGCAGCCAGCCAGGATTGAGCTGAGCACCCTCCCAGCTCCTGGCTGAGTTTGAAATTCACTCTCAGCTTTTCCTGCAAGCGCTGTGAGCACACACAGATGAGATTTCCTGGCATGCCAAAGCTTCCAGGGCGCTGAGGAGCTCTCAGGAGCCCAGGTCCCCCAAATCCTGCTCCCCTCACCCCCAGATTGCTGAGTGCTCCTTGGCACCGAGCAGACCTCTGCCAGCCCTTGGCTGATTTTCCTTGCACAGCTTGCAAAGGAAACCTCCAGCAAGAAACTTGCAGCAGCATCTCTGTGCCTCTGGAAGCTGCAGGCAGCTGCTCCGCTGAGAACCAATCTTTCCAAGGAGATGTTCATGCCTTTATCCCGAGATTTTGGGGATAAAACCCTTCATTTTGGGGTTCACCTTCTGTGCCTCTGGAAGCTGCAAGCAGCTGCTCCATTGAGGACCAATCTTTTCAAGGAGATGTTCATGTCTTTATCCCGAGATTTTTGGGGATAAAACCCTTCATTTTGGGGTTCACCTTCTGTGCCTCTAGAAGCTGCAAGCAGCTGCTCCAACTCAGCCACTAAGAACCAGTCTTTCCAAGGAGATGTTCGTGCCTTTATCCCAGGATTTTGGGATAAAACCCTTCATTTTGGGGTTCACCTTATGTGCCTCTAGAAGCTGCAAGCAGCTGCTCCAACTCAGCCACTAAGAACCAGTCTTTCCAAGGAGATGTTCGTGCCTTTATCCCAGGATTTTGGGATAAAACACTTCATTTTGGGGTTCACCTTCCCCAGGCAGCCTGTGCCCACCACACAGGAGCCAGAACACAAAGGGTCTAAAGGAAATTTTTAAAAAAGAACATTTTTCTTCCCTGTGCTGCCACTCTCTGCTCAGCACAGCCTGCCAGCAGCTCCCTCTTCCCCAAAATTCCAGCTGTCTCATCCCAGGGCATTCATCCCTGCCAGGTGCAGGGGAAGGCACCACCTGCGAACCACAGAGAGCCACAGCACAACTTTCCCAACTTCTGTCCCTGCTCCTGGGGCCCAGCCCTGAAATGGAACCCGAGAGGGGCAGGTTCTGCCTCTCCCCACCGATTCCCTTCAAACCCCGAGCCTCAGACACATCAATAGCGAGGCAGACTCGCATGGAGACACTTCAAACACGCCTCGGCGCGGTGGGAGCCTCACTGCGCATCGCTTCTCCCCCTCTGGGATGCGAGACTCGAGTAAAGCGCGGCAGGGAAGCCCCAGCACGGCCGCATCCCGCTCCTACCTGCGAGCACACAGGGCTGGGCGGGCGGCAGAGGCTCTGTCTCACTCCTGGGGATGCTCCGATGCCGTAGATCCCCAACTCGCTGCCCAGGGAGGCGGGCAGGGCTCTGCCTGCAGCGCTCACATCCCGCCGGGATGTGGCTGCCGGGGGAAAAGCTGAGACAAAAGGGGGGCTGGCTCCTCCTGGGGGGGATCTGCCGAGGGGTGGGCGCTGCTGGAGCCCCGTCAGAGCGGCCGGGATGCGGCGGCAGAGCGAGCGGAGCTGTCCCTCAGCATCCCCGGGGAGGCGGGCACGGCGCTGGATGCTCGGGCAGGCTGACACCTCCCCACGAAGGACACGCGTGTGGCCACAAAGCCACCCCCACGAGGGTCCGGTTAGCTCCCCCGGGGCCACAACCCCGCGGTCTCAATGCTGGCCAGAGCAAGAATCCAGCCCGGCGGATGGCGAGAGCCGAGCGGCGCTTGCAGCATCCCGCAGCTACGCAGAGCCCGAGCCGCAGCCGAGCCGGAGTTTGGGCATCAATCAGCCGGAATAAAGTTGGGCCTAGGGAGAGGTTTCTGCGCGGAGTTCTCCCCGCACACCGCCCGGGCTCGGCGCTGCCGCTCCAGCGGAGGAGCCTGCGAGCATCAGCCCCGCACGGCTGCGCACACAGCGAGCACCTCCGCGATCCCAGCGCGAATCGTTCCCCGGCTCAACTCCGCACAAATCCTTCCAGAAGAGCGACCCTGCCCTCCCCCATGCAGAGCCTGAGCGAATGCGAGTTAGAGAGCGTTTTCCTCGCCTCCTCCGAGCCCCGGGCAGCATCCCTCCCTCCCTCCCTCCCTCCCCTCCTCCGTGCCCGCCGCACGCTCCCGCACCCGGGAGCCGCTCCCAGGTGATCCGCACGAGTTGGAGCCACACCGAGCGTCCCCTCCCCGCGCTCTTTGAACTTCAGCTCTGCTCAGAGCCCGAGCGTGGCGTTTTTCAACTCTTGGTGCGCTAAAACACCGCAAAGGGCTGCTCCCAAAGTCCTTCAGCGAGTGCGGGAGGCGGCCGGGGGGCACCGGCTGTGCCCGGGGGGGATGGATGTGCCCGGGGAGGGATGGATGTGCCCGGGGAGGGATGGATGTGACCGGGGAGGGATGGATGTGGCTGAGGAGGGCTGGATGTGCCCGGGGAGGGGGCACCGAGTGCCAGCCAGGGGCACCGCCGGCAGCCAGCGAGCGGCGGCGGCTGCGGCTCCGAGCGCTCCCGGCCCCGCGGCTCCGCAGCGGCCGCGCCGAGCATCGCTCGGGGGTCCCGGGGGAGCCGAGCCCGCCCCCCGGCCCCGCCGCCGCCCCCCCCGCGCCCCGCATCCCCCCAGCGCTGCCCGCGGCTCGTACCTGGGCTGGGCTCTGCCCGCGGCCGCTCCGGCCCCGCTCGGCAGCGGCGGCCGCGGGTCCCCGGCGGCGGCACCGGGAACTGCAGGGGGCGGGCGGGGGGCGCTGCCCGGGCACCGGCACCGCTCCGGCCCCCGGAACCGCGCGGCACCGCACGGAACGGCACGGAACGGCACGGCACGGCAGGGAGAGAGAGCGGGGACAGGGATGGAGCGGGGGATGCAGAGAGAGCAGGGACAGGGATGGATCAGGGGATGCAGGGAGAGCAGGGAGAGATGGAGGGATGAGAGGAGAGCAGGGCAACAGGATGGAGGGATGAGAGAAGAACAGGGGATCCGGGATGGATGGAGGGATGGGAGGGGGACAGGGGAGTGGGATGGATCAGGGGGATGAGAGGAGAGAGGAGGACAAGGAGGGATTGAGGGATGAGAGGAGAGCAGGATGGAGGAGCAACGGGATGGAGAAAGGGATGAGAGGAGAACGAGGGATAGGGATGGAGGAATGCAGGGAGAGGACAATATTCAGGATGGATGGAGGGATGAGAGGAGAGCAGGGCGAGATGAAGGGATGCAGGGAGAGTAGGCAAGTGGGACAGATCAGGGGATGCAGGGAGAGCAGGGGGCTAAGGATGGAAAGAGGAACAGGCAGGATGGAGGGATGCAGGGAGAGCAACAGACCAGGGATGAACGGAGGAGTGGGCAGGATGGAGAGGGGCAGGAAGAGCAGGACACTGAGGATGGAAGGAGGAGCAGGCAGGATGGAGGGATGAAGGAGGAGCAGGTAGGATGCAGAGAGGATGTGGCACTGAGCTGTGCCAGGGGAGGTTTGGGATGGAGCTCAGGGAAAGGGGTGGATCTCAGCACCCAGAGGGAATTGGCACAGGGGTGGATCTCAGAACCCAGAGGGCTACCCAGGGAATTGGCACAGCCCTGAGGCTGCCAGAGCTCCAGGAGGGGTTGGACAGAGCTCCAGGGATGCCCAGGGTGGGATTTGGGGGTGCCTGGGCAGGGCCAGGGGCTGCACTGGATGATCCTGGGGGTCTCTCCCAGCTCAGCCTGTTCTGTGGTTTGGTGACTGCAAGGATGGAGGGAGCACAAGAATCTGGGATGGAGGGAGGGCAAGGACCAGCGTGGCACTGAACTATTGCTGCCAACAGTGAGCAGCTTTAGGCCCAGACTAAACACCTCTGACTGGGACAGCTGGGTTTGGGAAAGCTCTGCTTGCTCCCCACACATCCCAAATCCTCAGCAGCTTTGGGACTCCCTGCCAGCAGCCCCAGTTTCCCTCCATCTCCCCTCCTTGAGAAGGACACAAGTGAGATAACTTTGCTCCCAGCTGCTGAAATCTTCATAGTAAAGCTCAGCCTCCTCCTGGTGCCCTGAGCAGCAGCCCAGGCTGGGAGAAGGGAGGACAGCAGGAGGGGGACAGAGAATCCCTGGTGTGAGGCTGGGAACTCCAGGCAGATCCTGATCCCTGGGGTGCTCCAGCCTTGCCTGCAGTGCTGCAGCCCTGTCCTGGTTCTGTTTGTTTGTGATGGTGAGGAAAGCAAAGCTTCTAGACCATCATTTAATTGGACTCTTGCATTAAGAGCAATGAACTATTATTTGACAGGAATTCATCTTCCCCTCCTGCTGAGGAGAAATAAGCTGGAGGAAAAGAATCAGCTTCAGAGGAGAAAAATAAAACGCCTCTGCCTCAGAGACAAATTACTCATGAGATACACAGGTAACAGGCATGGGGGGTTTGAGCTCATCCCTTTACACATCATTTCCCTCAGGACAACAGCCTGAGGGAGCTTTGTGGCAGATCCTTTGTCCCCGTGTCCCTGCCCAGCAGGCCATTCCCAGCATTTATTATTCCTGGAATTGATGAGCATTTCCCTCTTCTGGGCTGTTAATTAACAACCGTGGCCCTGCAGGTCCAGGCTCAGCCCTGCCTGGGCGAGCAGAGGTTTGGCTGACAGAGCTGGGACACCCAGAGCAGCCTCTGTGCCAAATCCAGGAGTGGCAGCTGGGCAGGTCCCTCCTCCCCCTCAGCTCTGAGCACACCTGGGTGTCACAGACATCTTCCATGGAAAATCCTTTCCTTGGGATTCTTCCTCCTGAGAAGCTGGGAGGCCTCAGGAACAAAATGCAAACAATGGTTATCTGCTGCTGTGGAATGCAACAGGTGCATCTGGGATTGGTCTCGTGTGGTTGTTTCTAATTAATGGCCAATCACAGTCAGCTGGCTCAGACAGAGAGCCGAGCCACAAACCTTTGTTATCATTCTTTCCTATTCTATTCTTAGCCAGCCTTCTGGTGAAATCCTTTTTTCTCTTCTTTTAGTATAGTTTTAATGTAATATATATAATAAAATAATAAATCAAGTCAGGTTATAAATAAATATAATAAATAAATTAATAATATCATAAATAAATGGAGTCAGATCCTCATCTCTTCCCTCACCCTCAGACCCCTGTGGACACCATCACCCCTGGGCCAGGCAGGGCTCCCCCATCCACCTTGATCCAGGTGGGTTCTGCACCTTCCTCATGGCTCTGCCTTGTGCCAGCACCCTGTGACCGTGCTCACAGCGGTTTTCAAGTGAAAGAAGAGACGAGAATGTTGACTCTATATTCAGAAGCCTTGATTTATTATTTTATGATATATATTACATTAAACTATACTAAAAGAATAAAAAGTTTCATCTCAGAAGGCTGGCTAAGCTAAAAATAGAAAAGAAAAGAATGCTAACAAAAGCAGCTGCCTCAGACTCTCTGTCCGAGCCAGCTGACTGTGATTGGCCATTAATTAGAAACAACCACATGAGACCAATCACAGATGCACCTGTTGCATTCCACAGCAGCAGATAATCAATGTTTGCATTTTGTTCTTGAGGCTTCTCAACTTCTCAAGAAGAAAAAATCTCAAGAAAAAGATTTTCACAAAAAGATGTCTGTGCCAGCACCCCATTCTCTATTTTAGAGATTTTTTGTGTGATTCAGATCCATCTCTGCCATGCCCTGAGTCCTTCCTGCAATTACTGGACCTGTAAACCCAGAATTTCTCCAGAATTTCTCCAGAATTTCCATGGCATGGCCTAAACCAGACCAGAATCCTGAGTTAAAGCACCCTGGCAGCCAACAGGGAGAGCTGAAAGGAGGAATCCAGAGGAGGCAGCTCCAGAAACTGCCTGCAAAGAAACCTGGTTTGGTTTGGGAGGGAAAAAATCCAGGATTCAACCACAGGAGAGAGATTTCCACAGTTCCTTCTGCTGGGAGGTGTTACGTGGGGAGAGGAGGGGGAGGGAGGCACCCAGCGAGGTTTAAAATAGAGTTTGGTCATTTTATGAATGAGGTGATGTGACACAGTTCCCTGCCAAAGCTGGAGGCTTTGGTGACCCAGAAAATGCTGTTTGGGGAAGGAGCTGCTGTTGGTGCGAGGCCGCAAATCCCAAGTGTTACGGAGGGGGAGGATCCCACTCACAGCCAGGGCACCCAGAGATGGGGAGGAGCTGCTGAGGCTCCCAAAAACCCTCGGGGGGTGCTCAGGGCAGGGCTCGGGGTGATCCTGACCGGGAATCCCTGACAGGAATTCCCTGAGGTCAGCCAGGCACAGGGGAGGGCAGCAGGGCTGGGAAATTTGAGTTTATTGTACCAGAGAGCAGCACAAGGGCCTGGAGCCAGGGCAGGGCAAACCCAAACCTGTTCTGGGGTCTCAATCCAAACACAAACCTGTTCTGGGGTCACAATCCAAACACAAACCTGTTCTGGGGTCACAATCCAGACCCAAATGCACTTCAGGGTTTCAATCCAACCCAGGGTCTCAATCCAGACCCATATGCACTTTGGGATCTCAATCCAGACCCAAACACTTTTTGGGGTCTCTGTGCAGACCCAAAAACTTTTTGGGGTCTCCATCCATCCATCCAGACACAGACCTGTTTTAGGGTCACAATCCAGACCCAAATGCACTTCAGTGTCTCAACCCAACCCAGGGTCTCAATCTAGATCCAAATGCACTTTGGGATCTCAATCCAGATGCATTTTGGGGTCTCCATGCAGACCCAAAAACTTTTTGGGGTCTCCAGCCAGACA